GATCTATCTATCAATCTATCTATCTATCTATCTATCTATCTATCTATCTATCTATCTATCTATCTATCTATCTATCTATCTATCTATCTAATCTATCTATCTCTATCTATCTATCTATCTATCTATCTATCTATCAATCATCTATCTATCATCTATCAATCAATCTATCATCTATCAATCAATCAATCAATCAATCAATCAATCTATCTGAGATAGATAGATAGATAGAAAGGAGGAGGTAATATAGATCAGCATCAAGACAGAAGCCTCAAGAGAGAGAAATCAGGGTTGGGCCTTGTTCCTGTGCTAAACTTCATTGGATATTTTAATCTACTTTTTTACAGACGTTCTTGGCAGAAATGATGGTTTATCAGCAAATGTCCCTTGTTGCAACCTCTTTTGCCTTTGGCTGGAGCAAGTGGAATCTGAAGAGTGGAGAGAACAATCTGGTCTTTAAGGTAGGAGTGAGTGGCTGTAGTAGAGCTCTCCCCAAGGCCCCACTCTGGGTGGCATGCAGGTGGTTAACACCAATCAAAAAATCACCAATCATTCACACCTGTCCAGCCCACCCAACCCCCCAAAAAACCCTTCTGTGTTTTTACCAAATCAGCACAAAAACAAGTCATAAAGCCCGTCAAGCAACCGGGGATGTCGGCAAAGCATGGTTTAGATGACATGTGGAGTCCTTGAGTCCAAGAGAACATGTGGGTGGCTACGACAACACAAAGAAGGCTCTGCTTGTTTGTGTGTGTTGCATGTCAACTTTGCCAGTAAACATGCAACTTTGCCCATTATATTCTTTCATTTTTTTTAAAAAAACAGTTCTTTCTGAAGGAGAGTATTTGTAGCTCAGGGTTGAAATGACAGGGTCCTTAGTGTACTCTGAGCTTGGTTGTTTTCTTGTAGACGTTTCATTACCCAACTAGGTAACGTCATCAGTGCTAGAAGGGAGTGTGGTTTGGGGGGAAGGAGGAGGAGAGGAGGAAGAGGAGGAGGAGAATGATTTTGCGATGACTACAAGAAAACAACCAAGCTTAGAGAGCACTGAGGGCCCCGTTCAGAATCCGGTGGGGTTGTCCACCCTCTCTTTCTCCTGTCCAACTGCAGGCCTGTGAACATCTGAGTGAAGAAGAGCAGATCCAAGAAGAAGAATGGGCTCTCTACATGTTCAACAGCCAAAGAGCTCAGAAGCTCGCGATCGACGAGGAGAGCGATGTTTTCTCCAAGAACATCGCGGAAGGCTCCGAATTCCACTCCACTCTCTATCACCTCCTGAAAGACACCGGGAGCAAAGACGCCATGGACCGCGTCAGGCAGAGCAACTACCTCTTCATCGACGCCGTCTACCAATTGCTCTTGGCCACCAGGGTGCTGACGTACTCCTAACACGCACAAAAGCCGCTTTTTAAGAACTTTATTAGAGCTGAAAGACACTCCAGTCAACTAAGAGGTGGAAGAAATCACGCTTCAGACATTTTTTTAAAAAAAAGAAAGAAAAAAATAAATAAGCCATTTATGGATAGACTACGGGCCCTGAAATTTGTTTTTTTTTAAAAAAAATATTTTGTTTCTATAAGCTCTTTGGTGAGATTTGGGGTGGGTTGGTGGGAGGGGAGAGAACGATGGACAAAATTAAAAACAATAAGGCGTTGCAATCGTTCAGAAGATCCACTTCCTTGGCCGGAAAAGAATGAATCGTATTTTGTTTCTGAATGGCATGGTCCCGAATTATTAACAGAAATATTAGATGATGCATTAAAATTCCATTTTCTCTACAGTCAGACATTTAAAATGGGATAAACCTAAATTGCTTGATTATTCAATTTAAGACTACATGCTGAACAGACTCCAGAAGAGGGTTTTGTTTCCCAGCCTTGGCAACTCTAAGGTGGGTGGACTTCAACTCCCAAAATTCCCCAGCCGGCCAGGGGAATTCTGGGAGCTGAAGTCCATCCACCTTAAGGAGTTGCCAAGATGCAGTAGAGAAAAAGAAAACAAAACCCATTCTGAATACTGCTGAATTATACAGGCGGGGGTCCGTGGTGGAGGAGACGCGTGTATGGCCACAAGAATTTCTGTACAGAGGTCCAAGCGGTCCCAGTGCCCTCGGGGGAGGCCTCCACAGGTTGATGGAAGGAAAATCCCATGACAAAAGTTATCAGGATGGCAAAGAGCACAACGGCAAAGACGGAGACGCAGACGGCTTTGCTAATCCCGGAGAAGAAAGTCCTAAGAGCCCAAGAAGACACTCTCGTACACCTGCAGAAGAGAGGAGGGGGAAAAGCATGGAAAAGTAGGCATGGCCTCCTTCGTTCCAAAGTCTAAGAACTCACCAAGTGAGGAATAGAACTCACAGCCCCCTGATGATTGGGTCAAAGTCACCTAGCTGGTCTGTATGCCAGGGGTGAAATCCAGCAGGTTCTGACCGATTCTGCAGAACCGGTAGTGGAAATTTTGAGTAGTTCAGAGAATTGGCAAATGCCACCTCTGGCTGGCCCCAGAGTGGGGAGGGAATGGAAATTTTGCAGTATCCTTCTCCCAGGACTGGGGAGGGAATGGAGATTTTGCAGAATCCTTCCCCCGGGAGCAAGGAGGGAATGGAGATTTTGCAGTATCTTTCCCCGGGAGCGGGGAGGGAATGGAGATTTTGCAGTATCCTTCCCCGGGAGCCGGGAGGGAATGGAGATTTTGCAGAATCCTTCGCCCGGGAGCAAGGAGGGAATGGAGATTTTGCAGAATCCTTCGCCCGGGAGCAAG